CTATATAAGAGGATATAACATTTTTTTTTTTTCAAATCTCTCTTCAGTTAACCCAAGATTTGAATACAAGACTTCCAATTTAAAATTTTAAATTCTTAACCACTTGATTTACCATTTAAAAAGGAAGAAAAAAAAAAAAAAAAGTCCTTTGAGCGGCAATAAGGACGCCACAAATATTGCTTGGAGCACCAAAGTGAGCGCGGAGTGATAGTGCAGCGCTTTTAGTTGAGATAAGAGAGGGATTCCTTTGCATATGTGAATCCATATTTTTATGGTTCCTTTTTTCACGGATACAGAAACATTCATTCCTTGCTGACTCCTCCGAGTTCCGACACCCTCCAAAATTGAGCACATTCCCTTCACATAGCATCAAAACACAGAAACATCCATTTTTCATATGGAATATGGAAAATGATTGGTATATTCAACACATTTTTTGATATTTATCTTAATTTAGTTATTAAAAATATAATATAAATATAATTTATTTAGTCCATTCTTATATCATGTATATATTACTACATCTTTATATATTTTTTTTAATTTTAAACTAAAAAACAATATTTTTTAATAAATATATTATATAATATATTAAACTGAAATATACATATCAATTACTGTTCCTAGCTACAATACACAACATATAAAATGAAAATGAGCAAATGCACCTATTTTTGTTTCATTTCTAACCAGGTAGGTCCACATTTTAGACTTTATTATTCACACTTAATATAAAATAAAAATCAAATTGGGATCCTACTCTGCTGATTAACCTGTTCATATGAAGGCACCCATGTTAAGCTAGTGAAGAGGGGGAGTGACACTAGAGTATGTACAAAGACAGCTCTCTTTTTTTTTTTTTTTTTTTTTCTCAAAAAAGAATAGAGGCATAACTATTAACCATTGGAGGTTGTTCTTTAATCATGCTTATCTCTCTGCAAAGAACAAGCTCAATTGTTCTCTACCAGAGCATTTATTAAAGTCGTTGGATGAAAGGATTTTTAAAAAAAATAAAATAAAATAGAAGGAGAGAAGCCATAGGATTTGAACAGGAGAACATGAATTGCCACATTCACTAACACAAAAGGGCAAAATAGAACACCAATTTTGCCCCTTTTGGGGAAAAAAAAATTAAGAGAGCCGAACTCTTTGCAAAGACCTCGGCTCTCTTTCTGCAAATGCTCCAGTGGAAAGAAAATTGGAGCTTTGTTCTCCTTTTGAAGAGAACATCTAATAGAACATGTGTTGTACATGCTCTTAAGGCATGTTCAGTTCAATGGGAGCTCTCCCGTGTTCTCTTCAAAAAGAAACAAATCTCAACAACTGCTTGGACCATCTTGTATGTCAGAAACGGAATTGTGTTTAAGAATTTGTAATGGCATGAAAACAACTTAGTTGATCTTGTACAGTCAAAAGACTCTTGGTTGGATTAAAGGAGTTTCAAACTCTGCAATGTTTTGCTATGGGGATTGGTGTCAATTTCCCCTCCTTTGCGCAGAGGAATCCTAACTCCCCTCCTTAAACTCTTGGTTTCCTCTTATCTTTGTAAGGGTGAGTATCCTTGTACTCCTTTTAATATAATTTTTATTTCATCGAAAAAAGAAAGGAAAAACAGAACCATACCGGAATCGTTACTTATCTGGCTTACTCCTCCAATCATGGTTTCGTATTCTTTTCCTCACCGCCCACCTTGTTCTTTTCCCTTGGATTTGCTCTCAGTCACACTAATATTATATTGGTAATGACGTAATGTTATAATGTTGTAGTCAAGTTTGCAAACGAATCCAAATGCCTCTCTGCTTCATTGTTAAAGTTGTTTCATAAGTACCGCTAATTTACCAGGCCTATTGCATTTTCCATTTGTGCAAGGTGTAGAACAAGCCAGGAAGAAAGCAAAGACGGATTGAAGTTTAGCTAACTCTGGATGAATCTATCATGTTCATGAACGTTTTACACTATGATGTGTGATCATTGGCAATTGAATCTTGAAATAATGATACCTTCACACAATGGGAAGTAGGGTCTTGTTCTCCTAATCTTGGAATGAGTTGTACGACCATCCATTTCCTGTTGTCATCTTTTAAAAAATACATTTAAAACTTTAATTTTGACTATGAGTTCGGACCTGTGTAGAAGTTTAATTGAAAGTTAACTAGGATGTTCAATTCAAA